TCAAAGGTAATCTAAAACAGATAATTTGTTCTCCAAAGAACACTTTTCTTGAATCTTCAGTGGTTGTCAACTCACATTTAAACCAAGTCTATAATCCATAGGTTACTTAGTGCGATTGTTGGGTAATGAGATACAAAGAGATGGACAGCAAGGCTCTAGGACCTGAGCCAAGAGCACCTAGTCCAGGGTAACTGGGGCACAGAGCAGCTGAAACCAAACTATGCAACCAGTTAGGACACTTTTTTATAATGCCACATTTTCCTAGAACACAGAGAGGAGCTAAACTAGAAACCAGCTTTGAAATGGTACTATCTTCCAGAACAAAAAGAACTCTGAAGAACAAAACAAAAACACTTTGCTCATCTTCAGAATATGCAACATAACCAAGAGACACAACTAAAGCTAGTTGCCAGATCCAGGAAACCATGTGACAGCATTCAAATGACATCCAAGGCCTAAGCCACAAAGAAAAAGTATCCTAGACTTAAAAGCAGGGTAGCAGACAATGATCCAAAAAACAAATCCTCAGCCGTGTGTTTTCTGTACACTTGGGACAGTTTTAGAAATGGTTGCACTCAAAGACTATTTATGACATGGGAAAAAAATCACAGGAAATTCAGAATTCAGAATCCACAAGCAAAATACGACTAGAACACCACCATCTATGCCTTCTGCATAGGCTTGCTTTCATGAGATAGTGAAATCAAATAGTTAGGACAAGACATTATGGTCACAAAAATCCTAAAATATTTACTATGAGTGATTTAGAGAAAATGCTTGCCATCTCTCCTCCAGAGTACCTTGATAGGAGTTATTAAAGACCAGCCAAGCCTTAGAAGTGACAGAGAGAATAGTAACCTTTCTTCTTTATTTAAAAATTTTGCTTTTATTTATAGTTACTGGTTTATGATGATATATACAAAGTGAGTAGCCAAAGAAAGAGTATAACCTTCCTTATTTACTGAGCATCTTGGTAACTGTATCTGAAAAGATGGCTTTTGTTTCAAAGAGTAGAACAGTCAAATTAAGAACTACCCTGACTCCATCGTCATTGGAAGAAGGACATTGGTGATTTGGTGAGGCAGTATGCCCATGAATTGTATTGATAGCACATTACCAATTTCTGGGGTATCGTGAAACCTGGAAAAACCAGAAGTGGAGGTGTGGTTCAAGTGGCAAAACACTAATCTTAAGTGGAAAACAAACAAAAAAAAACATGAAGCCCTGGGTTCAATCCCTACTACCAGCACAATAAACAACAACAACAACAGTGTTCCCATCTCCAAATGTCTCCAGAAGGAGGAGAAACTGAAGAGGGTAAAATTCTCCCAGTTGAAAAACCACTATCTTAAGAGATTACCTCTCTGGTTTTCTGCAGAGAAAACAATGGTCTCAACTCTTTTCCCCTTGCACATACCATAAACATGTTATTAGTAAGTGACACGGATATACAATTTAATTTTGAAGGGCAGATTTAGAGAAGCAAGCACTATGGAAGTATACAACACTGGCACTATACTCTATGAACAGGAAGAAAGGGAGGGGACTGGGAATGAGGGGAAGAATAGGAGTAAGTAACTGAGTGGGAGAGTAATGCAGATGTATGAAAATATTTCTTTGGAGGGACAAAGGAGTCTCTGTGCCTTTTATTCCCTCTCATTTGTTAAAAGTGAATAATCAGTTCTGCAGGCAGCAACATATTCTAGAAGGTAAAATTTGGTCTTTCCACCAAATGAACAAGATAAATAGGTGAGATTTAATCAAACAAAAGGTGACCATAGGACAAGAGTACTTTGCTTTTTACACTGAAGAGTGTTCAATTACCTTTTGCCTTTTGGAGAGGCACTAGAGAAAGTCATAGAGCAATAAAATGACTTATTCTTGCATAATTCTTGTTGTGAATGTTAGACACATTCAACAACAAAAGGAGAGGTCATGGAGAAAAACCTCAAGCATTTTTTTTCTTTTAGAGTATTGTTGAGTTTTTTCTATTACTTGGAAAAAATAGCTGTCATTCATAAAATCATTCATTTGCTTAATCTGCAGACAAGTTAGTATTTACTCTGCATTGACTCTGTTCCTGTTTCCTTTTGTAAGTATCATGCAAAGAGTTCAGAAGTGAAATACTGTTGCAATTGCTATATTGAGTGATCTACTCCTCTGACAAGTAATTCCTGGGCACACTGGAAATATTGGAAATAGAAACATGAATGACTTCTGTAGAATTTCACAAATAAACCTCCCCATTTCCACTGACAAATTTATCATTCAATGGCTAAGCAGTTATAATACTATGAACACTCATTCGCCTCCATGTATGTGCTGAAATAGAAAACAAGCGAAGAGAGCGGCAGCATTACTATAGATTTTCTTTAAATTTCCAAGTGGATTTTTTCCAGTTCAAAAGATACACAGCATTTCCATTATATTTACAAACTTAAACATATACATTTTAAATAATCTTGAAAAAAATTTAAGCGAACTAAAAGGCACTCCACAAAGTTGTAAGTCTGCAGGATGAACACTGTCCAATCCAGTAAACTTCTGTCTTAGGAGAAGGTGATTGTAAACACTCATAATTTTACAACATTCATTGACTCTATCCACCTGCCTTCTGCTCAGCTATAATGTTCCTGCCACTGTGCTTTACCACAATTGGGAAATGCCACAGATTCAGGTGTGGCAGAAAGAGCTGTGCACCAAGAGCACTAGATGAAGAGGCACTGCTTCAATTAATCAGAGGCAAAGTTCAAAAAATAGATCTTTAAGAGGCTGGATGCTGGTGGCTCACACCTGTAATCCTAGCTACTCAGAAGGCTGACATCTAAGGATGGCGGTTCAAAGCCAGCCAAGGCAGGAAAGGTCCCTGAGACTCTCATCTCCAATAAACCACTCAGAAAAACGGAAGTGACACTGTGGCTCAAGTGGTAGAGCGCTAGCCTTGAGCTGAAGAGCTGAGGGACAGCACCCAGGCCCAGAGTTCAAGCCCCACACCAAAAAAGATCATTAAGACAAAATTCATGGGTTGGAAAAGTCATCTGTTAAAACAGTAAAATAGCCGGGTGCTGGTGGCTCACACCTGTAATCCTAGCTACTCAGGAGGCTGAGATCTGAGGATCATGGTTCAAAGTCCCCCCCTTCCCCCCCCCACCCCAGGCAGGAAAGTCCTCGAGTCTCTTATCTCGAATAGACCACTAGAAAACCGGAAGTAGCACTGTGGCTCAAGTGGTAGAGCGCTTGGCTTGAGCTGAAGAACTGAGGGACAGCCTTCAAGCCCAGAGTTCAAGTCCTACAACCAATAAAAAAAAAAAAAAGTAAACAAACAGTGATTGTTGACACTGGGAACATTTCAGGGATGCTATTTTGCAAAGACCACTTTTGCAGTATGACTTCCTATCTCTAAGGTGAAGGAAAAGAGCAGATACTGTCTCTGTGGAGATCTGTGTGTGAACATGGGCATAAATCATTATTCTAGAGATCTCCAGTCTCAGTCTCCATAATCTAAATGGGGTTGAGATAATCCCCAAGGACTCTCCCAGTTTTAGGAAAAGAAAAATTCTATGGACCCTGAATGCTATGCTCACTCACAGGCATGAGAAAACTTCTTTTATAGAAAGGGACAGTTTGTGTGCTTATAAGTTTCCTCATGCCCACATATGGAATTGCATACAGTGCCATGTATATCTAACAATAAGGTCCATGTAAGCAACCATCCTTCTGAAACACAATGGTTTCCTACTGAGATTCCTTTAGTATTAGAACTTTTTTTTTTTTCCTTGTCATAGGGCCTGAACTCTGGGCCTGAGCCCTGTCCCTCAGCTCTTCAGCTCAAGGCTAGCACTCTACCACTTGAGCCACAGCACCACTTCCACCTTTTGCTCTTATGTGGTGCTAAGGAATCAAACCCAGGGCCTCATGCATGCAAGGCAAACACTCTACCATTGAGCCACCTTCCCAGCCCCTAGTATTAGAACTTTTGAACTTGATGTCTGTCTCATCTGAGAGGAGGATTTGGTCAGAAACAAAATCAACTTCAAAATTCTCCTTGAACAAATTCACCAAAACCTTTTCAGTCTTGTTGCTGCAAGTTAGGTCTCTTCCAAGAGACAAATCAAAAATTTAGGGCTAGAAATGTCATGTGATGCTAATTTTTAAATGTGACCTTAGACTTATTTTTCTTAGAATTCTATTAGCCACTTATACACATTTTCTTATCTTTTACTGTAGTTAGATATACATTTTATCTATGTATATTATAATGATTTTGTTTATAATTACAAATATAATCCATACTTTTGGAAAGGGTTTTCTTGTGATACTGAGGATTGAACCCAGGGCCTTAAATAGTGCACCAGGCTGGTGCTCTAACACTGAACTAACAATCTTTTCAGCTAAATTTGTTGCTTTCAGATTTTTTTTAATAAATCTACATATTTTTTCAGTATATGTTATATACTTATTTTATTTTTACCTTTATGCTTCTCTAAATTAGAATTACCATTGTTATTTCACATTAGTCTTCAAAGGAAAAGTGAATTAGTTCATGTAGCAGACACCAAAATATGTAGTTAAAAATAAAGCTAATGTAATATAACCAAAGATTACTTAATTTTACTTTGTTTCATCTTTAAATTACACTCAGTATGTCCACTGGTGATGTGTAATCAAGTTTCCTCAGCACAACAGGAAACATACACTATTGATTCAGTTAATATAGGATATTAATTTCCATAAAGCAAGATTAGTCTAATTGGTGGGGATGGTTTGTATTTTTCATTCTTGTTTCAAAAATGGCATAAACACAAGTATGTAAAACCTACACTGAATTAATATAACCAAGACCAAATGGTAGGAATCTATTAATAGTAGTTAATATTTGCTTTTAAAGACAAAGTTGTAAAGAATTGGTATATATTATAGCTAGTGAAATCAACATGTTCATTTTGGTATAACACTTTGTTAAACAAAACATGGAGAATACATTGTAAACATTTTCCTACCAATATTGGGGTGCTTCAAGAGACGGCAGATTCTGGCTTCCCTTTCCAGTTTCTGATGATCTGTTTTAAAAATTAATAAAGAAGACAAAATCACAAGAAAGAAAAAATAAAGCATAATAAATGTCATACGAAGAAGACACAAAACTTTGGCATTTATTTATCATTTGCATTTGGGTTTAGTTAAACACTCTAAGTCAACAATCTAATAATTACTTCAGATGAAGTTTTTTTTTATTGGCTTGATGCTTGATTGGATGAGATACAGATTACAGCTGGATTTAGAATTATAACTGGGCTGTTTGAGATTGCACAAAACAGTACTACTCCTCAACTTGACTGTAAGTAATGATGTATAACTTTGTTTTGTTTTAGTGGAGATAGGGTTTTCTAATGCAGTGCCAGTGCTAAGATTACAGACATTTGTGACATTTGTTCATTTCAACTTCAGTAACTCAAACAGGCATGCTCATTTGAAGCAGAGTGTGCATATCTAGAAACTGGAGTGCTAGTGATATTAGAGTCAAATAAGGTAATCATACTTTACTCCTGAGGGAGAATTGTTTTCGGTCCAGCCAAATGTTCTGTCAACCATTCTGCAAATAACTGTTAATCTAACTTCCTGTATGCATAATATTCTTTCTCATAACAAGGACTTCGAGGTGCCGCCGTGGCTTGCTTATCTCCACCTGCCTGTTTCCCTGACCATTTATGAGGTAGAAACCATTATAAATCCACATATTAAGAACCATCTTTAGTTTCCTTGTAGTAGTAGTAGTAGTAGTAGCAGTAGTAGTGGTGGTGGTGGTGGTGGTGGTGGTGGTAGTAGTCATAGTAGAAGGTAGGTATTTGATGATAACCCAAGACACTTTCCAGGAATAAAGTAAGTGGCAGAGAGACAAGAATATAGGAATACATGTTGTCTGTAAGAACACCACAATGTACTGGTCATCAGCTGAGAATCTTTTTATTGGATATATGGCTTGAACTGTACAGTAGTCCTCTGACATGGGTAGCACGTTTATTTCACAAATAAGAGGACTAGGGAACAGAGATGGTACAAACAGCTTCCTCTATTATAACACTAGGAAGTGGCAGCTAGAAAATAAGCTCTAATTAATTCATGCCATAAAGTAGGCTGAAGAGAATGAGGGGATGCCTATGTGTATACCAATGTCTTCAATTTCTGTGATCTCAGAACTCCTATAATTCTTAAAAATGATGAACACCAAAAACCTGCTGATATAAAGTTGATTGACTAGGTTTCACTCTATTCGTATTCAATCAGAAAAAATAAACATAAAAACGTTAATACATGTATGCATACAATAATGAATACGTTACGTAATTGTTAAAGTAAGTAAATTTAATTCTAACTTCTTGTTTGAAAATAAGTGAAACTTACTGAAAAAATAAAATAGGAATAATACAGTAGCATCTGGATATTATGTACTTAGATAAACCTATTATTAATATTTTTACTTACTCTGTTTCTCTCTGCAAGTATACATATTTAGCTAATTGTGTGTGTGTATGCATACAGATGGATACGTGTATATTTGTGTATAGTTTTCCAGTCTCATCTGAAGGTAGCTTTCAAATATCAAGATCTTTATCCTACCCTTAAAAATTCAGTGTGTATTTTCAAAGGTTTTGGATATTTGCTTACTATTATACCTATGAACTTCAGTAAATTTAGCATTATTACAGCACTTTACCAATCATGTTCTATTTTTTTTTTTTTCTGCTTTAATGGGGAAAGACCCTTGGTAGCATTTTCTCCCTGTACTGCAGCATTAAGGTTAGGCTACATATGACATTTACTTCTCATTTCTCTTTCACTTCCTTTAATTTGGAACATTTCCTCACCCTAACACCCTGTCTCTTCCAACCCCTGTATCTCTGAAAAATTTCTTCGGTAAAAAAAATCTTTCTCATTGTGGTTTTGTCAACTAATTGCTTATAATTTAGGCTACCCAGGCTCTGCTAGAACTCTACCATGTATGGAGGGACATTTTCTCCAGCTTTTCCTCAAAAGTGGTGCTAACCAAATTCATGATCTTGTTGATTTCTCCATGAAATAGGGTTTTTTTTTTCCTTTGTTATAACACTGGAGATGGACAAGAACCCAGGGGCCTTGTGAAAGCCATTCTAAGTGTTCTATGGCTGAGTTGCATCTCCTTCCCTTGTGTGTGTGTGTTTTTTTTTTAAACAGTCCCATTGTATAGTTCAGGCTGGCCTCAGACTCTCAATCCATCCATCTTGGGTTCCCTTAGCCAGCTGAGCGATGAGTGATTATAGACATGCACCACTACAGCTCACAGGAGTTCAATACTACTGCCTCATACTACTGATGAAAAATGATATTGCAAATTTACTCCAATCATCATCTCCTCCTCCTCCTCCTCCTCCTCCTCCTCCTCCTCCTCCTCCTCCTCCTCCTCCTCCTCCTCCTCCTCCTCCTCCTCCTCCTCCCCCTCCCCCTCCCCCTCCCCCTCCCCCTCCCCCTCCTCCTCCTCCTCCTCCTCCTTCCTCTTCTTCTTCTTCTTCTTCTGTATTTCTTTTGTATTTATAACATAACTCATGCCAACACATGCATAAGCATCAACACAATCTTTGTCGAAAAGCAAATCATGTTTTAGCTTTATTTTGAAAATATCTTTGATCTTGTGAATTTGGAGGATATACTATTTGGAGGATATACTATAAAGAACTGACACATTTAGCAGGTTATTTCTTTGTTTGTGGCAATTTAGGAAACTATTTTCTATCTATCTATCTACCTACCTACCTACCTACCTACCTACCTACCTATCTATATCTACTAGGTAGATATAGATAGATACGGATATAGTGTTATTAGTAGTTAGAGAATAATATTTCTTTAATGAATTAGCATCACAGTATGGATAGTTTCCAGCTATGTATTAAATAAATCCATATTATCAAGAAGATAAACAGGTATTCTAACCTTACTAATGCATAACACTACACATACATCAAATATTTATAATTCAAGCCACTATATTTCAAACAAGCTTATTTTTTAAAATAAGCTACTTTTAGAATACTCATATAGGAATGTACAAGTAAACATAAACATTTGAGCCAAATTTTAAAATTGCATTTAATAACATTTGCTTACAGATTGTAAATTATTGTATGTAAAGTATAGAAAAGACATATGCTTATAAATGCAATAATTTTACAGGGATAAGATATGTAAAAATATATGCTAAGTGAGTGCCAGTGCTCATGCCTCTAATCCTAACTTCTCAGGAGGCTGAGATCTGAGAATTGTGGTTCAAAGCCAGCCCAGGCAGGAAAGTCCATGAGACTCTTATCCCCAACAAACCACCAGAAAACCATAAGTGGTACTGTGCCTCAAGTGGTAGAGACCTTGCCTTGAGTTGAAGAGCTGAGGAACAGCACTCAGGCCCAGAGCTCAAGCCCCATGACCGACCAAAAAAAAAAAAAGTAAAAAAAAAGAAAAATATATGCATATATGCTAAACTATGTGAGATACATGTATAAGCACTCAAATTATATAATACATCAAAATTTTAAAAGGCAAAAAGGTAAAAAGAAACTTCATAAGCAATAAATTCTACAGAGTTTTAGTTATAAAGATAAAAATAATGACAGATTATTGTTATGGACTAAGTTTTTTCCCTGAAAAGTCCTATATTGAAGTCCTAGGTTACCAGACTCCAGATGCAATTATCTGTGGAGATGAGGTGCTTAAATAGGTCATTATGTCAATATGAGGTCAGTAGTGTGAGCTGTATCTAATCCAATATAGCTGTTCTCTGTATAGGAAAGAAAGACCCTGTGAAAACACAGGGAGATGATGGGCTTCTATAAGTAAGAAGAAATAAGAAAGGCCTCAGGAACAATATACCTTCTCAAATTTCAAGTGCAAGACTTCCAGTGTCTAGCAGAACTAGGAGGAAGTAAATTCAGTCCCTGGAACTTCAGCATGGAAGCTCAAGCAAATTAATGCACCTAACATATTAGCCTTCCATTGCTATGCAGCAAATACCACCAGCTGTGCAGCTGAAGCCCCCTGAATTTATAATCCAAGTTACAATGGGCCAGACATTTTCCTTTAGGGTCTCTCTAAGACTGCCATCAAAAGCTGAGCTGTGGCTGGGGTCTCATCTTCAGTGTTAGTTGGAGAAGAACCTGGTGGTTGGGAGGGTTGTCTCTGAGGTATGCTGAGCTGAGGGTTTGAGCTCCTGTTTGTTGAAGGCTTCCTTATCCCGTACCAACACGGTGGCATGTTTCCTCAAAGTCACCTGGGGAAAGAATCTGGGAGGCAAAGGCAAAGCCACATCCATTCAACCTAAGCAGAATATCCAGTTTCTTAGAAGCAAGAAATGAGGCTGCTCTAGTGACAAGGAGGCAAATATTAAGGGGGCCATGTCAGAGTTTGTGATACTGAAGTGCTCTCTCTCTCTCTCTCTCTCTCTCTCTCTCTCTCTCTCTGCCAAGCACATTCACTTAGTTTTATTCTCACATAATCATCTCACTTAGAGATGTCCTGTGAGTTGTAAATTATTCTGCAATCTCCCACTGGAGCATGTTTTGACATTCCAACTAGGACCATACAACTGATTTCTTGTGTTCATTAACATGAGAATTTAACAATAATGGAGATTCTCATCTCTTGGCGTGCTTTAAATTCAACATCAAGTTCATAACTTAACTTGCAGAAGGAGTAGGTGAGGAGGAGGGATTAAGTACCTATTATATCAAAAGCATATTTCTGTATTTATCCTGCTGAAGACATGAATTCATTTTACATTTAAGACTTTCCTCACTTTTAATTCGGTCAGCAACACAAATCACCCATCCTACCTCATCTTTCCTGGCTCTCACAACTATATTGGTAAAAGGTAAGGGTAGCTTATAAAAAGCAAGACATCCATAATACCTTAGCACCATTACAAGAATTTCTTATTACTTCCAAGTCCTGAAGCTAAGGTATGAACCAGCTTCATATGGCATTTAATATTTATTAAAGTTCTCTAGCTGTAATAGTTGGGCTTCATTCTTCCTTT